CCATTGACTGTGAAGTGACTTTCTGTATAGTCTTGTATAGTCTCTCATATGTAAGCCTGGAATAGTGCTCAGATGTGAATTTCTTCAGAAGGTCAGCTTATTTACAAAATGCTATGTTTTTTGGCTTAAATGCAAGACTATGCAGATGCATGCTGTTTTTACTGCAGAGGAGGGAATGTTTTTGATGAGTTTATGGTCTAGAACATTAAGACACTATTAAATGGAGTCAAAACTGTTTTGCCCATATTAATGAGCAGAGCATGACCATCACCATAACCAATAATTAAGAATTTTGCATGAATTGCCAAAATTGCCAAATGATCATTAATTTTGACCAAAATCTATTATTTTTAGTGAAAGAAAACATTTAGAGAAATATTTATTTTCTGTTTGGAAGGGATGGGGGCTGGATATATCCATAAACCCCAACTCTAACTTAAGGGACTGTGGGGCATCTTGTAATATATAGGACCGTGTCAGAAACTGATTCTTATAATCATAGTATACCATGTCCATTTCTTCTTTTATTACCCATACATGTAGAATATCAACTGTAGGAGATGGGATGAGAATCCAGATTCCCTAATATGTAGATTTGATTAATAGATGTATGACACATTCTGAAAACTACATCAATGTTAGTCGGTTACTTTAATAATAATACCAAAAATTATCTTACATTTTGACAACCCAAAGATCTGTTTCCTGTGAAGGACAAGCAGTTAAGTGTTCCCAGTACTGGCTTTAATTTAATCATTTTCTATAGTATGAAATTGAGTGTCTGGAAATGCATGTGTAATGTATTTTCAAGTAACCCTTTGAGGGTTCCAAATGAGAGGTGTCATCCCATGTTGAGTCTTAACATGTCATGTGATCTGTATGAACCAATTAGATGTTTTGTTTTGAGAATTGGGAGTCAATTTTGATTGTATTGATGTGTCATCTCCTGGGATTAGAGGCGTTATTAGCATGACAATAGAATTTGAGATTTCTAGCATTCATTGATAGCTATTGATATTTATTGAGGCTGCATCTTTGCTAATTGTTTTGCCTAATGGTAACTTTCATTTAGTTTTCCTTTTAATGTTTCCTCATCTACTGAGCCTGTCTACTTATTAGGAGGCCCCATCGGGGGGCCTCCTATCAATTTTGTAGATATTATTCTTTATTATTATTAGGAGGCCCCATCGGGGGGCCTCCTATCAATTTTGTAGATATTATTATTCTTTATTCTTTATTCTTTATTATTTATTCTTCCTCCCTCTTTTTCTCCTACTTCCAACTAACTTTTAACTAGCTACTACATAGTCCTACTAGGGACCTGGGCTGAACTTGGCGGGAAAGGAATTTTTATCTAGGTCAAGGTCAAAGGTCAAAATCTAGGTCAAATCTAAGTTTTTTTCAAGTTTCTCAAATCCTGACACTACACTTCAATATTTTTGGCTGAATTTTTGCATACAGATAGATATTAGTATTCTTTTAGTCTTAGCCTTTTGCCGTCTAGAGAAATTTTGCCTATATTTTGAGATATTGAAGGTCAAAAAAAGGTCAAAAAAGGTCTTTTTTCAACTTGCTTCAAATTGACCAAATTTTTTTTTAAAACTCATCTACAAGTTCTCAGAATTCTAAATCTGACCTTACTTTTGACCTTTGACCTTTCGTTGACCTTCAGTGACCTCCGAAAGGTCAAAAAAGTTGATTTTTCAAATCGTTTTTCTGGATTCAAATTTAGGTATATTTATTCACAAAAGACCTTCTAAGGTGTAAAAAAGTAAAATTTGCAAGGTCAAAGGTCAAGGTCATCAAACGAAATCACAAACTGTGTTTTCTAAGTTTCTCAAAATTGGAGACTACAAATCAATTTTTTTTACTGAAAGTCAGAATATATATTCCTCTAAAGGTTCTACACATATTAGCAATTGACTATTCATTAAAATTTTGCTTCAGTTTTGAGATATTAGAACTCAAAAACAGAAAAAGGTCAAATTTCCAAATTTTTCAAGGTCAAATTTTAACTTGCTCTAAATTGACCAAACTTTTTTTTAAAAAGCATCTACAAGATCTCAGGAACTCAAATCTGACCTTAATTTTGACCTATGACCTTTAGTTGACCTTCAGTGACCTTCGAAAGGTCAAAAAAGTTGATTTTTCAAATTGATTTTCTGGATTCAAATCTAGATTTATTCAATCAGAAAAGATATACTGAGGTCTGAAAAAGTAAAATTTTCAAGGTCAAAGGTCAAGGTAATCAAACAAGATCACAAACTGTGTTTTCTAAGTTTCTCAAAGTTTGTGACTACAAATCAATATTTTTGAATTAAAGTCAGGATATATATTCCTCTAAAGGTTTTACACGTATTAACAATTGATTATCTATTAAAATTCTGCACCAGTTTTGAGATATTGGACCTCAAAAACTGAAAAAGGTCTAATGTTGAAATTTTTCAAGGTCAAATTTCACATTGCTTCAAATTGACCAAACTTTTTTTTAAAAATCATCTACAAGATGCCTGGAGTTCATATATGTCCTTGTATTTAAGATTTGACCTTTGGCTGACCTTTAAATGTTCAAAAAAGCCTACGGGGCCTCCGTAAGATTGCTTGCAATCTTCTAGTTATTATTCTTTATTATTATTTATTCTTCCTCCCTCTTTTTCTCCTACTTCCAACTACCTTTTAACTAGGTACTACATAGTCCTACTAGGGACCTGGGCTGAACTTGGCAGGAAAGGAATTTTTATCTAGGTCAAGGTCAAAGGTCAAAATCTAGGTCAAATCTAAGTTTTTTTCAAGTTTCTCAAATCCTGACACTACACTTAAATATTTTTGGCTGAATTTTTGCACACAGATAGATATTAGTATTCTATTAGTCTTAGAATTTTGCCGTCTAGAGAAATTTTGCCTAGATTTTGAGATATTGAAGGTCAAAAAAAGGTCAAAAAAGGTCTTTTTTCAACTTGCTTCAAATTGACCAAATTTTTTTTTAAAACTCATCTACAAGTTCTCAAGATTCCAAATCTGACCTTACTTTTGACCTTTGACCTTTGGTTGACCTTCAGTGACCTCCGAAAGGTCAAAAAAGTTGATTTTTCAAATCGATTTTCTGGATTCAAATTTAGGTATATTTATTCACAAAAGATCTTCTGAGGTCTAAAAAAGTAAAATTTGCAAGGTCAAAGGTCAAGGTCATCAAACGAAATCACAAACTGTGTTTTCTAAGTTTCTCAAAATTGGAGACTACAAATCAATTTTTTTTACTGAAAGTCAGAATATATATTCCTCTAAAGGTTCTACACATATTAGCAATTGACTATTTATTAAAATTTTGCTCCAGTTTTGAGATATTAGAACTCAAAAACTGAAAAAAGGTCAAATTTCAAAATTTTCAAGGTCAAATTTCAACTTGCTCTAAATTGACCAAACTTTTTTTTAAAAAGCATCTACAAGATCTCAGGAACTCAAATCTGACCTTAGTTTTGAATTATGACCTTTAGTTGACCTTCATTGACCTTCAAAAGGTCAAAAAAGTTGATTTTTCAGATTGATTTTCTGGATTCAAATTTAGGTTTCTTCAATCAGAAAAGATATACTGAGGTCTAAAAAAGTAAAACCTGTAAGGTCAAAGGTCAAGGTCATCAAACAAGATCACAAACTGTTTTTTCTAAGTTTCTCAAAGTTTGTGACTACAAATCAATATTTTTGAATTAAAGTCAGGATATATATTCCTCTAAAGGTTTAACACATAATAACAATTGATTATCTATTAAAATTCTGCACCAGTTTTGAGATATTGGACCTCAAAAACTGAAAAAGGTCTAATGTTGAAATTTTTCAAGGTCAAATTTCACATTGCTTCAAATTGACCAAACTTTTTTTTAAAAATCATCTACAAGATGCCTGGAGTTCATATATGTCCTTGTATTTAAGATTTGACCTTTGGCTGACCTTTAAATGTTCAAAAAAGCCTACGGGGCCTCCGTAAGATTGCTTGCAATCTTCTAGTTTTGATAAAATATTTAATGCTTGTATCAATTTTGAAAAAAAGATGTCCCTCATTGAGTGCATTTGGAGTGAAACCTCTTCAAGTATACATGTATTTCGAAAAAATTTCAGTCTATCACATAAATTGATTATTTGGGATATCTCAAAAAGCTCATATTACATCAAAAAGTATCTCATGTTTCTAACGTATTCAAAAATTTACCTACTTCCTGGCATTACCAAAAAAGAAATGACAGGTTTACTAGCTTAGAAAAACTTAAGTAATTAAACATTTTTTTAATCATAGCCCTGAGCTCATAGTTCGAGTACAACTTTAATTAAATCAGTTCAGTTATTTCATTGTGATATGATTGATTGCTCATTTGCTAAAGATTAAAACTGTATCATAAAAGTCATAATATAGAATAATTCATCTTTAACACCTCTTAATCCTTCCTAGCTTTGATTTATCAGGTTTTATTCATGAACTGAATAGGATTGTAATATACTGCATATATCCCGCATTGTGGATTTCGCTCATTTGTTTGTTGATGAAGTATTAGCTCTTTTATGGAGATCGTTTGTCATAACAAATATTTTATTTCTGAGTAATGAAGAGATAATGTCTCTAGTAACCTTTTAATGTGTCTTCCTCTCTTTTTGTGAATTATTTTATGAGGTAGTAAATTTGGCTTGTATGACTCTTACCTTATTGTGATGTGCAAAGTCTTAAATGCCTCTTGAAGAAAGCAGCATTGTGAAAAACAGAGATGTGATGAGTATCAGAATCTAAAGAGACTAGCTTTAGCAAGAGTTAGATAAAGAGGGACATTTCTGGGATATAATGTCCTTGTAGTTCTTTATGTCACTTTCACAAGTGTGGCATATTGTTATAATGTCGAACCTTTTCATTGATTGTGTTCGGCAGTTGGTTGGTGGTACACACTGAAAATAATGCCATCTATACACATTGGACAAAACATCATCTACATGTATATACATTGTACATGTACTTTCAGGATGGCAGCAGAGGTTCAGGTATTGACCAATTAGCAGTGAAATATTCCCGAGATCTCAACACACATTTCCAACACGTCTCCCTACAGTTAGAACAATTGCGTCAGCTGGAAGTCAACCCAAGTGAAACCTTAAAGGTAAAATTCCTCATAAGTAATACATGATACTGTTGCATTGTTGTATTTTAAAGTGAATACAGGCTATATCACTTTTTAGTATCATTGAATATTTATGAGCATGAATTGTTTTTATGTCACCACCAGAAGGGGTGACGCATTGTTAATAGTCTCTACATTTTTTATTGATGTTGTTTGTTGGTTCGTGTTTGGCAGTCAGCGGTTGGTGTTCTACATTTGGCATCTGTAACAAATGGCAGGTGGTGACATTTTGCATGTTAATGCCTTGTTTTACTGGGAAAAGACATTATTTAATTTTGATATTTACCAGGGAAATGGCAATTTTACAGTATATTATGTTGCTATATTTTTTTGAATATTTGCTTTATTGTTTGATTATAATGTATCTAAGACTAAGACAAAATATCGACTTGTCTCATATACTAACACGAAGAGGACAAACATTGTCCTTTTTTCTGTTACCACAACAGAAATTTTGTATCTAAAATTTTGTCACCACAATGTTAATTGGTGACATATTATAATAACTAACATTTTTCTGTAAGTTCAGCATCCAGCATCTGAAATTGGCATCTGTAACACCTTGATACGCTTATGGCCTAGTCACATAGCCCGGCCGATGAGGTTACGATGAGCCAGCGATGCAATTTTCACCGAATTTGGCCGGACACCGGCCGGACATCCGTGGCGTTTGTTGCTTAAAACCGCATCGGTGGTAGCTCTGTGAAATTTTAACTTCGGAGTTAAATTTCACCGGGCTCTCACCGAGCTCCCTCATCATGTCATCGCAGCCCCATCGTAACCACATCGGAAAACACGTCGGCCGGAGTATCGGCCGGTGTCCCGTGCATCTGAGACAACCAGAGGACGAGGTTTTTTAACGGACAGCGGCCGAGCTCCGACCGAGCTCCGGCCGATGTGGGACAGAGCATCGGCCGGTCACTGTTCAAAGCCTGTTAACAACCCGGCCGGCGATCGCACGGTGTCCTGTTACCTGCTCGGGTACTGGCCGTATTCCTTCCGATGTCCGGCCGACCTCCGGCCGGTAGTTGCTGCCACATCGGCAGAAAAAAACTACCATTTTGAGACAGACTCCATACGGTCACCGGCCGGTGTTCGGTCGGTCGCCTGAAGATGTTCGGACGGAGTCCGTTCACGTCACCGAGCTCTGCTTCCGATGAGGAGAGCTCGGTGGCACCAAAAAAATCCACCGAGCTCTACCGATGCCAGACATCGGCCGGGCTATGTGACTAGGCCATTATACACCATTTGTAGGTTGTGCACATATGTGACATTTTGTTCAGTTAAATGCTTTGTTTTATATTTATTTAAACTGCTTACATGTTTTAATTTGCTTCATTACTTTTTAGTCTCCTGCATTATGGAAGGGTACATTGGGGAGACATTGCGATTGTGTTTTACAAGGGAGTCCACCCCCCTTGCCTTCATGCCCCCCTGTAAGTCAATAGAATAGTAAATAATCATAAGAACATAAGCTGCTAGATCATTATATATACATTGAACACTCACACAGCTAAAAAAGTTGTTGTTCGGTTTATTTCTCTCTATTGAAATTTCGGCCATCATATTTATCTTTTGTCATTTTTGTCCTCATTGCTATGTTCATAATGTTATACTGCTGATTTGCATACTGTAAAACATGTGTCAGTCATACATCGAGTTTAATGAGCTCTTGATTTTTTAGTGTTGAGCTTCTGCATTATGAATCATATTTCAAAGCCATGTCTATTAGTATGATGGGTTGATGCAACTTTATTAAATTGATAAAATGTGACCATAAGCAATTATTTTAGCCCGAATTCACCACAAATCATTGTACATATACCGTATTCTCTCCAATAAACGCACAGTGCGTCTCCCAAATTCTCCTGGAGGAGCAGATGTCTCAAATGACAAAATCCCCGGGGATTTGTGAAAAAAAAATTGGGCGATAATAGGGTGTTTTATGATTTTCCTCTTTAAAACTAGACTCACTCCAGCTAGATAACATATTATCATACCTCAATGTTTTCCTCATGCATTTATCAATCTGCTGAATGTGTTTCCGTGGGTTAATTGGCATTATGATACGCATCAATATTGATGATAAACATCCACTCCAATTGCTCCGAGCAGGCCGCCATTTTGGAAATTGACACCGATACCTGAGTCAAAATCTAAAGGCTTCTTCTATCTGAATGGTCTTCATAGTTGGTGAAAATATGTTTTATATCCATATAATGCTACTTAACATTTATAAAGGATTGAATATTTGTTTGTGGGAAAGGGCAGCGAATATTTATAGATCGGAACTCCCATGATGCACTGCGAGTTTGAGTAATGGCGACGGGCCCGAATTAACGTTCATTGTAGCTTTTAACTCATCACTATAAGGTTATCATGAACGTAGTTATAGCTCATAAGGTTCCTTAGACACATCTGTAACAGCATTATACTCACAAACGGCTCTATCGATAGCGGTAAGTGAATAATTCAATATTACCCTATTATCGCCCGCTCGAATAAATCATATTTTTTCTTGATTTTTGTTTTTCAAGTTGCCAGTCTTTCTTGGAAAAGTCGGGTGTGCGTTTATTGGAGTGTGTGCGTTTATTAGAGATAATACGGTATATAAGTCTACCAAGATGCACATATAGAAACATAATGGTACATGTGCATTTTTACTTGTATTTAATAAGAACACATTTATTCCAATTGTGATAACAAATAACAACCAAATAACCAAATATGTGTTCAATGTTTAATATGTACATGTATAACATTATTCACCTCATAAACTCCTTTCCTCTCCAGCCCTCTGGCAGCCATACAGACTTTGTCCACAATGATGGGGATTGGGGATCACCTGTCAGGTAAGCTACATGTAGTAATATCAAAATTCTTGTACAAGCCCCTATATCTGAATAGGGGGTAGAGCAGGCCCGAAGCCAGGATTTACCTGGGGGGGGGGGGTGTTACCAAGGGGGAGCTTTTGCCAAGGGGGAGGAAGCTCTTTGACAGTTTTTGGCAGAAAATCACGCGAAATGTGCTGAGAATGGTGAAAAACTGCATGATTTTGGAAGAAATTTTGGCCAGGGGGGAGTGGTCGCTTCCTACGCTCCTTCCTGGCTTCGGGCCTGTAAAGGGGTTTAATATAAGACTTTACTTTCTAGACTTGTAATTGTACAGTTATGTATATAATCAACATTTTATTTTTTAATTCGAACATGATATCACAACATAACAGCATGATAAGAGAGGAAACAACACAATATAACATACATTATCACAACACAATACAAACTCATGTAACAGAATCCAAATTATATTAAAATGTTACCTTAGCCACAAGATTTTGAAAGTACCAGTTAAAATCTGACACACAAGAAAGTTTTTCCAGGGTTGTGCAAAGGATGCAATATAAAAATGATGTCTCTTGACATCATGTCAGGAAGATGTCACACATGCAGCCATTCAACCTTTTTCTGGTCTCTGTCTTGTCAGCTGAAGCTTATCAAATGCCTTTTTCTAAAGTTAATACATCTGAACAAGAGCTTGCAGTGATTTTTTCTACGAGGGTAGACTGACTTTTTCACATCGGCGCTCAACGCAGAATTTGATTCTGAGCTTTTCATTAACCAATACATCTGAACAGGAGTTTGCAGTTATTTTTTGTGCAAGTATATTTTATTAATAGTGGATGTACAATTTTTGGCCTGTCATGGTTTAACAACACTGCTTGAATTATTACAATATGTGAAAATAGTAATTTTGAAGTGGTTGGAGCTAGCATATTTCCATTTTTGTATTACTTCCTAGAAATAGGCAAAGGAAAATTATATTTTATTGAAACCAAAAATATCTGTGATTCTTTAAATGATACTTATTGTAAGTTTAGTATTGTAATTATCAAACAGTATCACGCAAACCAGTCATCAGCCAAAAAGTTGTTAAAAATGATATTTAAAATAATATTTGTATCAGTAGTTGCCAAGGCACAATGTATGCCATTATGCACGTTCATTCTCATTCCATAGAGTTCATTTTATAAAAACCTCTAAAGTACCATAATTCAAATAGATAATCTCCAAACTACTAGTTCATTTTTTAAGTTCATATCCAAAGAAATGAGACCATAAACTCATTGTAAAGCTTATATAACCATATATCAGTTAGTAAAACTTGACCATGGCAAAGTATATGATACTGACTCTGATGCCCCAGTTCATGGCCACTTCTTTTGCACCTGCATTATTTGGTATCTCGGAAAGGTCATTGCCTGCTCTATTGTCAACAGTTCTGTTACATTCTGAGTTAATTTGTGCTTTACTCGGACATTGAAGCCTATCTATCCTCATCCTTACCTGTATTGGTTCCTTCCTGACAACTAGGCCACTTTCCATAGAAGAAATCAGCCTGGTTCCATTTTCATTGTCAGTGCCATTAATAATTTCGACCCCTTGCACGCTCCTTTTTACATTGCCATGGTTATGTTCATCATCTTGCGTCGCATTTTCCAGTAGTTCTGCAGTTGTTGTTTCGATTGTTTGGTTTTCTTCTATGGGTAAGACCATATGATTTGACATAGGTGGCAAAAACATATGATTTTCAATCGGTAATTGTGGTAGTGGTGGAGGATCATATATTTCAATCGCAGACTTGTATGTAGAACCCACAAAGCAACCGATCATGAATGGAAAGTTCTTTGTTACCGTATAGCCATACTCGTTACCTCTAATACCTCCATTGCATTCATCAGCTTTTCCACCATCATCATATATTACATGTCCATCTAAGGCTAAACCAATGATGTTAGTATTGTTAGTATAGATATTGAAACAGGGGGCAACAAACTTTCCCTCCATCTGACAACCAGTGTCATACGCACATCCATTATTATCGAATGGTTTGTAGATAAGAATACCAGTTATGGTAACACCGATTACACCATCAAACTCTTCACCACCTGTTGTGTTTGCATTGATGCAGCTAGGGGCATGGACGCTGTCACTGTCATCATATATAGGCCTTATAGGGACTGTAAGTTTTACATTCCTCTCTCCGACTCCTTCTCTGCCACTTATTTCCCCTGCAGTGAATGTCACTGTATCATCAGCATTTAACTGTCTATCTCGATTGTAGCCATAGTGATGAAACAACCCCAAAGCTTGTTCAAGTTGATGGCTCATTTGTTGACCACTGGCCAGAACTTGGAATGGATTTCCCATTAGCACCAACAGGCATAGAAACATAGGCCTATCCATTCCTATAATATGAATAAATCTCATACAGATGATGTAGTGAGGAGATATGTTAGTGTAAATGGAAGACTGAAAGGTATCAAAAAGAAGGAAAAGAAGCCCAAAAAAGAAAAAGAAAAATCCAAATTATGCAACTGCGTTAAAAAAATATATACTGTAAAAAGCCTTCTTAAATTTTGTGGTCATAATCACTGACCCCATCCTACCATATGTACCTCTATTATTGGTATGGGTGATTTTAAACTTTTTTGAGTGTTTTTTAAGTTAAAATATTATTTACCTAATAATTGTGAAGATTATAAAGCATTGAAACATCAGGTGAGATATTCTTTGAGAAAAGACTAAGTTATGCAAAAGTTATGCACTGATAAATGAATTATGCTGCATTTTTAAAAGTTCAAAAGTATGCAACATAAAATGCACCATGTAGACACATAATTCTGAGAGGTCTGTATTATGTATATATTTACTAATCAGAGATCAAACTGCTCACGAAATGCCAAATGTAATAGGTACTTTGGAAAAAACATCACAAGAAATATAAGAGAAGCTCAATACAATTTTGATATTCAAATGATTCTTAAGGCAGTAAAATACTACTGGAACAATTTGGAATTGTGGCTCAAGTTATTCTCAAAAAAAACATTCTTTTCTAGTTATTAGAGTTTGCTAAGTCTTTTTTTTATTACTTGTCTATATATGATAAATTGACTGTGAAACTCCAGTCTGAAACATGGCCAACAATTGAAATATAACATCTTCAAAATCAGAAAGTTCGCCATACTGCTTTGTCTACTCCGCCTACCTAAAGGCTGAGGATCAGATACTCTGTTTAGAATTTATTTCAAATTAAATTTTTTGAATTATAATTTTACAAACTTACCTCTTTTCTGGAGAGGCTGCTTCAGAATATATCAGTCCTGTCCAAATTCTACTCCTAATGACAGTTTGAAATATCCACCTTTTATACTCACAACAATCTCATTGATCCTCAATGAATGATTGGGATGTCTGTTGAGAACAACCAATCAAGTTATGGAACAACCAATCAACTCAGGGAACAACCATTCAAGTAATGGGATGTTTCTTGTTTATTTTCAATAGATAGGATTACTTGAATATGAGATAAACCAATTTATTTTTTTGAACATTAAATGATAATAGATGAAAGATGTCCTTTTTATCATGTTGTTGTTTTTGTTTTGAATTACAAGAAGCAATCTAAGAATTAGACCCGTATCAAGGATTTAACCTACAGCACTAGAAGTTAGAAATTCACCATGGATGATATATCATCTTTGAATGCATAACATCATCCTTGAAAGCTTGATTAGGTTCTGTTTGCTTACTGCTGTAAAGCTTGGTGTCATCTTTGAATAGCTGTGTCATCCTTTAGTAATGATAAAGCCATGGGTGATTGATGTCATCTTTGAATGCATACCATCATCCATGAAAGCTTGATGTTATATTTAGACTTTGGGGCATTCTTAAATATCAGCTTTAATTATCTAGTATCTATTGATATGTTTTGGAAGACGAATCAATTGAGTCTGCAATTTTAGCCATTATCAAGCTTGTTGGCTAAATGCTACAAGTAATCTGAACTCTGAGAGCTCACTCATGTGAAGTTATTTGCTTCTCACTTGCAGGCAGTTCAATTAATATTTTGTAATACATAGGGCTGAAGTAAGTTAATCAATCCATCACAGAGTTATTCAATACACTGCTTGATGTGAAGATGAGCTACTATGTATATGTTATAATTATAAACACTCAAATGAATACTAACTTAGATCAGGTGATCATATTTTATTTAAAAAACAAGGGTGTCTTTAATCATCAATTTTCTATTATAATGTTCGAATCAAAAATTGTTTTATCAATGTTTGCACAATTCAGGTTGAGTTTAACAAAATCGAGGTTGAGTATATCTGCCAGTTCCTTCATGTACATAAATGGTTCTCATTATTTCTCATCATGGATTTTGTTTTTTCTTCCTTTTCTCAATATAGTTTATGTTTATGTTTGTGTGGCCTCACTTATTGTACTTAGCCAAATAATACTCTTTGTGTTTTAAGGATATCTTAACTAAGTAATTACAGTTTAGGGGTTGATTTGTATAAATATAAATAGCTATACAGTAATTACCCTGTCAGATAGGTAGTTAGTAAAAAATAGATGCATCTGAGGTATTTGCTCATCAGGTCATTTTAGACCTATAGTTCAGTCTAGCACATAGCTCCAAAAACATTATATATGTACATTGTTGATTGTTCCATCGAGGACCATCTCTTGTTGGTGTAAATTATGTGGCTCTGCACCAGACTGTGAAAAGCAGACAGGTATTTTGTTATACATTTTTCAGTCTGTGCATGTCGCTGATGGTTTGTGAATACATCATACCATAACATAGACATCACGCTCGGTGATCGTGAATATGGGACGGAGGGGGGGAGCAGGCAATTTCTGCTAGGAAATTCAACAAATCTTGAAGATTTATTTTTTCAAGAAAAAGTTTACTATTGAATTGCTAAATGGATAGGCGCACGGTATGGTAGAATATGTTAGGTTTTCTGGGATTTTTTCTGAAACGATACGCATCTAAGGTATGAGATCTATTAAAAAAGGCGCAAGGCCATCAACAGGCACAAATCAACGTTTTTGCTATAAATCAAGCAACAATGGTCTGGACGACCTGTAATAAATACTTGTAAGTGATGTTATCATAACTAAATTAATGTCATTGCTGAATTTATAAAATAAGTTTCCATATGTGAAATAAAAAATAATCGAAAATAATGAATTTGGGACGGAGGGGGGAGGGGACGGAGGGGGGGAGCAATATGTATATAAGACATGATTAGAGATGTTTCGCGACTTTAAGTCCTTTTACTCCAAATGTCCCCATTTTTCAGTCTCCAGGGGTATATCATCCAGTTTCTTACTAAGTTAATGAGTTCATTTTTCAAATACAAGAATTCGTGTGAAGTTGTTTCACTTTATAGAATTATTACTCCCCCACTCCGTCCCCTCCCCCCCTCCGTCCCATTTTAATTATTTTCGATTATTTTTTATTTTACGTATGAAAACTTATTTTATAAATTCAGCAATGACATTAATTTAGTTATGATAACATCACTTACAATTATTTATTACAGGTCGTGTAGTCCATTGTTGCTTGATTTATAGCAAAAAACGTTGATTTGTGCCTGTTGATGGCCTTGCGCCTTTTTTAATAGATCTCATACCTTAGATGCGTATCGTTTCAGAAAAAATCCCAGAAAACCTAACATATTCTACCATACCGTGCGCCTATCCATTTAGCAAGCCAATTGTAAACTTTTTCTTGAAAAAATAAATCTTCCAGATTTGTTGAATTTCCTAGCAGAAATTGCCTGCTCCCCCCTCCGTCCCATATTCACGATCACCGGGCGTGGACATGGGACAACACTATGATTAATTTTTGCCTTGTTATTATATCCAGGAAAGAAAATAAGCGAATCCTTATGTTCAAAGTTTGCTGTTTTGCCAGTTTGTTTGGTATGGTTGTTTAGAATGCTCTTTTAGTTTGGCAAATCAAGTGAAAAATATATCATCAGATTACATAACTCTAGATTTATAATTCAACTATCAATCATCATAATGTTTCTAAAAATTCATAAAATGCAAGTTGTAGGTTTTCTAATAGCAAAGATGGAATATAAATTACAATGCCTCTACTGGAGTTTGCCAGCTGCTCTACTTTAATAGAATAAGTGAGCCCAATATGTAAGAAAGATGCAATAAAAGAGATTGATAGCAGCTTAACACTGACATTTGCAAAATGAAGATGTATAACATTGTCTTTTGCATATACCTGTGTGCTAAAACACAACTGTTACAGTATTAAAAGTCCAGTTTTTATCATATGCTACCATTTATATTCTTCTAGGACAGATATTTCCAGTGATAGCCCTATCAGTATAAACCTAGTAGAAGTTTTATAATGTATTACAACATGTATACAATCATATTTTTAAATAATCCATGGGTGATAATGTGGAAAGAGTATTGCTAAACCTAGACATCCAAGAGTTGTTTTCATTTATAAACCCATGGGGAATTAAACTGGTATAAAATGATAGGTGAGTGTACATTATATTACAGTGACAAAGCAGCATTATTTCTAGATTTTAATTGTCCTTTTATAGACTTAGACATTTGATCAAATCAATGGAAGGAAACGAACTGCAATTAACGATCATGAAAAACAAACAATTGCACATCAATATATTAGTTTTTATAGCATTTATGGCAAAATGGTCTAATTTGTCATGTTTTTCATGCTGATTTATGTTAGTTTAGTATTTGTCTGCTGGTAATAGTTCCAAAATCCATAAGTTTATTCCTTTCCATATTGAATTTGGTCTCTATTAATTTGCTCGTCTGACTTATATTACATTTTTTTAGATATGTCATCTGATTGGTTGATACCTGGCACATGAAACTCATAATGAATTGTGGGAACATGCCTCTCCCTAGGAATGTATTGACACGATTTGGACACCTCTGGAATATATTTTCTTGGGAGCATCTTCATAAGCTCTGATTGGTCAATACATGTGTTGTGGTGCATTATGGGTATATACCTTCATTAGCTACAACAAAGAATCGCAATTAGTCATGCATGACAGTGACTGGTAGCAATGCTGTTCCAAGGAGAATGGTCATTGATACATTCAGAAGTTTATTGACATATAAAAGTGCATTGACATATGCATACAATGCATGGTCAACTTAAAAGTGCATATGTATATGTTTATATGCATATGCATGTTATATGCATATGTTTGCTCACAATGCATGATCTATTTATAAATGCATCGACATAAGCATATAATGCATGGTCGATTGTTT